CAAGCACCCACGGTCACGAGACGCTCCCAAAACACGTTATCAGACAGTGAAGTTGTCCGCGGCCAGCCTCAGGATGCTCTGCTCGACTAAGCCGGCTCGGAAGTTGGTGCACAGACGTAGTCAACTGGTCACTAGTACCGAAAGTGTAGTGCGTGTTATACGCAGGGTGGCGTATAAGAGGCGCTGGATCGTGATATCTAGCACCGATCTATACGACAGTTCGCTGGGTTTCCCCTTTCAGCTGAGACGCGCTCTAAGATCTCGATAGGTTCCCCATGTTAGTGCAGTGTATGCAAGAGTGTATGTAAGGGACAGAAGAGGGGACAGTTACTAGAAATCTCTCTGCGTCAGAATGTGACCCGCCAAACACCAGTGGATCATGAATTGCCTATGGAATAGGAGCAAATGTCAAATGTGAATATTTTGTTGTCATTTAAGGTCGTATCAACATCTAGGTCATTAGCGACCACTATTCCTTTTAAAAGGTATGGTAACTGTGAAGATGATGATATGATATGGTGATGATAGGAGGTGAAAGAACGTACATAAATACAATCATGCTTGAGGCGGGACTGGAACCCGCGATTCTTTGGTCCGAGATCGCTACGGTACTACTGCCAAAACGATCTCGGCCATCCGGAGCGGCATACGTGTATCTTTGTACGAAATTTCCCACCACATACTATTTATTTGAAAAAAAGTGATCGTAGAACCCTGTTCGTGCATGTAGAAGCTAGTAACAGTTATGCGCATCTAGAAGTTGGTAACGTTTGTTCCGAGTTGGCCTGTTGGACTCACCTGGTTGTCAGGGTTGCGCACGGCGAAGAAACCCACGACGCGCACCACCTCGTGCAGCAGGTCGCGCTCGGAGCCGCGCGCGCAGTACCACAGCAGGTAGGAGGCGATGTGGCGGAACTGCAGGCTGATACCCTCCGCGCCCAGCACGCTCTGCGCAACATCGCACAGCTATACACTCACCACAACTCTAATGGCAAGATCCCTGGTGCAAGAAAGACTAAAGAAACACACTCTCAAGGCCGATTTTCAATAGCCCGCGAACGGGAAAGTAAAGAAAGTTAGAAGGTGGAACTATCAGGCTGGCATTCACAATACGACACATTTCTATTCATAATAATACTTAAAAGCATAATCCCCCATGTTAGTTTTATTTCGCTATAGTACATTATTGTTGTAGTTCGTTGTTTTTGTTTTTGAAAAAAAAATTATTGTATTTACCGTAAGTTCCGTTAGTTGTATCTTCCGTATTCCTTTTTGAAATTTTTCCATTCTTAATTTAGTTATTAATTGTTTTTTCTAATTAATATTAATTCGTTCAATTATTTATTATTCATAGATTATTCAAAACGTTAGAATCTAAACATTTAAGTTTTTGTATTTAGTAGTTTACAGTTAATTTTTCGCAAATAGTTCCATTTAATTACTGCATTGCTCGTGGAGAAGATCACGAAAGCACAGAAACAAACGCAACCGACGGCACACGAGCGAGACCAGCACAAAGCAACACACGCGAACACAAGGTCGATGACAAATCAAAGAGCGAGCAGGGCAGCGTAGCTATAGAAGTGCTCTGGTTTCAGGAACTCTTTCTTGAAGTTCTCTTTTTCGCCGATACAGTTTACAGCGCTATTCCTCTTTCCGTTGACGTTCACAGCGAAGCGCACGCACCTCGCGTTCCGGTTTCCACCTTCGCGTTGCCGTTCCCGTATGCGGGGTATTGCGGGGCGGCCTTTAGAAATCAAAATGCATGCGTTAAGAATTCAGAGTCGACACTTGAGGAATATGCGAATCCTTAAGCAATAAGTGGTTACGTATAGCAATACTTCTTCCTATACTTTCTTCAAGAACAGGGAATCAGAGCTTCATTAAGTAAACTCCACGTGGCAATACACCACTTGCTCCAGCTGTTTCGTATGGTTTCCTGGTTAAGTGGTCACGGAATGTATTCGCCTAACATCTTTCGCCAAAAGTGACCGATTTTATTTGTTTACCTTCGAAATCGTTCCTAATTGTACATATCCAATGCATTATGTACGCTTCTCTTGTATCTTTTCGTAGTAAGATGGATGTGTTGCGAATAGAACTCACAATACTTCGTGAAATTCATTATCTGCATTGTTTTCTATACATCACTGCTGCTTAACAGCATAACCTAAATTTGTTTCTGGAATCCGAAAGAGCTCCATTTAAGTGAGTGGTCACATACTGCCCAGACATTTGAAAATAAGTCCTGTTTATGGATCAGAATCGGTCACTTCGGCGATAAACATTTTATTCATATTACACAAAAAGTTCGCCTGGTTCATGAACATTGACCTTTAAGTTTTTGGACGATCTATCATTTCCCGTGGGATCGGTGTTCATGGGAAAAATACTCAACCAAACTGTGTATGAAGTGTGTCGCGATCTGCCTTTTCTTGGAAATCATTCCTCTAAATAATGTCATCAGTATTTTATCATTATAATTCAGATCTGGACAACCAGATGGCTAATCGGCAAACAAAAATACAACCATAAGTCAGTAGTGGTATTGACCATCTGAACATTCTCTCCCATAAACAAAGTTTGATTTTCGAATAGACCAGGTGGCGTAATGATTCTAAAAAAAAACTTAGAAGAAAAGGATGTCACTTACAGTCCCATTGTTAGATTCGGAAGAAGGATGAGGAGCTAAAGAAAATCTGATATCTCGTTAACAGGGATATTTTAAAATTATTAAGATATAAGTGTTGTTAATTATAAACAGCATACGTAGTCAAATAAGATGCTTTAATTTAGATCAATAAACAATAAATATTTCAACGACAATGGCTTAGAATGTGACGTTTAAATGCCCTTCGAAGTGAAAAAAAGGTATTTTTAATAGAAAAAAACTGTGCGATAAACCAGAGCTATAATAAGCCAGAGCCAGAAAACAAATCGCGAGAACAAGATGTAAAATTACGCACCCTTTAATTCCACGAAAATCCTAACCACGAGATCCTTTCAAATAAAAACGAAAAACGCGACTGAATGAGATGTTCGCAAAAACTCAAATTCACGCTCGGGCTCTCATTTTGTCTCCGCAGCGAGATATCGTACAGGGGAGAGAGCCTTATTCCGCCTGTATACGCTCGAATTGTTCCTCGGCCCCAGGCACACAACCCATATGGCAGTGCTTTGCCGGCACGGCAACTACGCTCCGCAGACCGTTCCCTCCAACACCTGCCGCCGCGCGTGCCCAGGCCCGCTCACCGACGCGTCGCAGCGATTATCCTGCTCGGCCGCGAGGGCGCGCCCACTCGTTTCACTGCCATTGCGGTGTGCACAACACACCATTGGGAAATACTTTCTGTGCATGTTCATTCGGCCAATTCCCATGTTGATGCTTCGAGAATAACATCTGGAAACATTTTTGGAAGAGAGCTTGTAATAGAATGTTCAAGAAGAGCTCATCCTGTTAGACTAAGGTGTGAGAAACATTTCTTTGAGGGCTCTAGCTTCAAAATTTTAGTTTTAATGCCCCATAACGCTTTGTTTAGGAGTTAATTAACGATATAGATTCACAAATACCGCTGAGTGCTGCGAGTTGCATTTGACATGACCTAAGTTTTGTTCTGTGTCCATCTTTCCGGGTCAAGTCGGCTATTGTGTCCTTCCCATTTCCATTTTAATATTTTTGCCTCTTGTACTGCGTCTTAATTTTGTCTTTCTTCTAGTCTCAACATTCTTGTCTCTGTCTCTTATATTGATGTTCAACATTTTCACATCCATTTTTCTGTCGCATATGTCTATCGCTCGCATATTTCGCTCTTTTACATTAAGATACCATTTTTGTGCTCGGTAAATTAGGACACGTAACCACACAGTCAAATGTTTGTCTTTTTATTTCCATGTCTTCTTTTTAGTTGTTCATTATAAATGATAAACTATAGAATTTCTGCAGTATTACAGATCCGAATACTACTTTATTTTTCTTATCGATTTTGGAATTGTACTATTTGTCCCAAATACACGTATTTTTCAACATAGTCTATTGTACTGTTATTTTTTGTGATGGGTATAGCTGAGCAGTTAGTCATAATTTTGGTGTTAATTTGTAAACGTACATTGTTGCACAATATCTCATTAAGAGCGTCTCCCCGTTCTTTTGGGAATTTTGCGAAGATTATTACGTCATCTGCAAATCTTAAATTCTTTATTTTCTTCCATTTATTTCTTCCATTTTTTTCCATTTCCTTCTATTTATTCCATTTTTTCCGTTTAGGCCGTGCTCGTTTTAGATGTTTCTAAAAAATGATTCTAGTACACTTTATGAAAATATTCAGAGATAACGGATCCCCTTGGCGAACAACCCTTTACAGTTTGAATATTGGCCCTACTCAGTGTTTACTTATGCCCAACTATTTGTATACATTTTACTTAAAAGTGTAATATACATTTTATTAACAATTTTTATAGTTAATGCTAGTAGATCTGCGGGGAGTTCAATTTTGTCGAAAGCTTTATTGAAGTCTATAAATGCTAGATATATCTTGAGGTTATATTCTTGAGCTTTTTCTAGTAATTGGTTGACGACTTGATGGTGATCGGTTGTAGATAAGTGTGAGCGAAATCTTTGTTCCATACGTTGTTGTTCATTGACGACGTTGATGGTTTTTATATTGATTATTTCGGAGAATACTTTGTAAACACATGGCAATAAACTTATTGGTTTATGTTTGTTTATAAAAGTTGTTTTATTTTTTGTGAATTAGGATGAACTTAAGAGCATCTCGTATGGCAATTATTTTTCAAGAATGAGGTTAAACAGATTTGTCATTATAGATTCCGTCTTGTGTTGGAGCCTTCCCCATTGCGTTCTTTCAAGACATTTCATTTCATATACTAACGGCACATTTGCATACACAAATTTACAAAATATCACGAATACATGACAACGGATAAAATACTTGTTCCAAGCTGGGATTGGCACTTATCAGACAACGCTTTTTCCATGTGCAACTAAAATTCATAAAAAAATAAAAAATAATAATAATAATAATAATAAAAAGCAAACAATTTGAAGCATTGACAACTTTCAAAAATCGCGAGTCCACGAAAGACAACGTGCACAGAATTCAGAGACAAAAACCTGCACACATTCTTGCACAGACCGCGCATAGTCGTCGGATCCACACAGAACCAACGAAACAGCCGAAAACCAACGTCGGGACGGCAAACAGCGTCAGCGAATCCTGTGTTTGTTCTTCTAGAACCAATGCACCGGGAGTGGTAGCAGTGCCGTATTGAGACAGGGTGAGTGGTGTTTCCACAGCAACGCGATCGCATAGCGGGCGACGCACCCGGGGGCCTACGCGCGTTTTCGTTTCAAAAAAAGGCTGCCCTGTGTCTCCCTCCGAACGTACGTACGTACTTCACATTGCAAATTTCCAGAGCTGCCGCCACTTCTGGCAAACTGGGGAGAACGTTGCAGCGCCGGTGGCAGCTATCGTCGCGCGCCGGATATGAGGCGGAGGCAATCGCTCGTGGATGCTAGGGCGGACGCGGACGCTCTGCCGGAAGCACGGGCGCAGGCGAGAGCGTGAGCGGGGGAGAGGGCGGGGGAGAGGGCGGGGTGAGGGCGGGGTGAGGGGCGGGGTGAGGGCGGGGTGAGGGCGGGGTGAGGGCGGGGTGAGGGCGGGGCTGAGGGCGGGGTGAGGCGGGGGTGGAGGGCGGTGGGTGGGATCGCGGTGGCGAGAGCGGTTGGCGAGGGCCCGGTTTGGCGAGGGCGGTTGGCGAGGGCGGTTGGCGAGGGGCGGTTGGCGAGGGGGTTGGGCGAGGGCGGTTGGCGAGGCGGTTGGCGAGGCGGTTGCGAGGGGCGGTTGGCGAGGGCGGTTTGGCGAGGGCGGTTTGGCGAGGGCGGGTTGCGAGGCGCGGGTTGGCCCGAGGGCGGTTTTGGCGAGGGCGGT